TGATGATGATGATGATGATGATGATGATGATGATGATGATGATGATGATGATGATGATGATATTTTGACTGTATTGGATAATGCGCCGGTGGTCACAGTCAACCGTTGGGCGATCGTCTTTTTTGACCGACCTTTTTTAACCCGTCCTTCCTCTGTGGAAGACAGCATCGCTGCTCCCATAAATATGGACATGCTGGTCTCCCGGGAGCATTACTGCCGCCGGTGGTCACAGTCAACCGTTGGGCGATCGTCTTTTTGGGCTGACCTTTTTTAACCCGTCCTTCCTCTGTGGAAGACAGCATCGCTGCTCCCATAAATATGGACATGCTGGTCTCCCGGGAGAACACATTACTGCCTTCACACTCCTGTCGCAGAGGACAGTAGGGCTTTACCCCCAGACCGCCTCGTAGCACGGTTAATCGTAGTACGGGGTCTTGCTGCTCTCGATCTGAATGCTCCCCTTTGACCTTCCTGGCATGATTGCACCTTGTAGGACGAAGTTCCAGGCAGTGTAGCCTATATATATATATATCGTAATGAATTACGTGTGATCAATAACGAATTACTTGGATAATTTAACTGCACAGGGCGTACCGGTTACCCCCTCGTGAGCCTCCCAATCTGAAAACGTGAGAGAGGATGACATTTCATATATACCATCACTAAGTGGTATGTTCGTTACGGCACTCCTCTAGTTCTAGGACCGCCTGCATGACCGACTTGCATGTAAAACAGGAGAGTGAGTACCTGAACGGATGAACAATAGCTTCCCTGTGTCAGTGAACCAGAATCCTGAGCATCAGGCTGATTTGTCCCGGTTTCTTACGACGGCGGGAAACTAAATATTAAGAAGTATCCATACAGGGGGAAAGTAATAGCAAGTTCAGTTATACGGAAAGAACAAGGCCGAAAATGGTGATAAATGTGTGGAAAGCATAGACCATTATATACCAGAAAGCACAGCAATGAGGAGAGTATTATTCGGTGAAGCGTCGAGACCAATGGACATGATGCCCGGAACGGGTGCGCGCTAGAGAACGAGGACTGCTCGATTTAATCGCGTTGAACGTGGTCCGCTTCGACGCAGTAGAAGCCCGTTGAACTGACTTTCAAACTGGTGATATTGGCTGTGACATGAACGAGTAAGGTGGCGTGGATCCCAAAATGTCAAATACTTTAGGGTAGACCAGTTTTACGTCGGCAAAGGCGCCCTGCTTAAAACTTCATTGCGTTGGTACGGTGTATCTGGTCTTCGTTCCATGCATCAGCTATTTACGCCTGTAAAATAACCTAAATAAGTATCGCAAGCTCCTGTGGCCAAAATCCACTTATTGCTGCTTCATTATTGATTTAACCGCTGTCAGTACGTTGCGGTTGATGTGGCAACTGATGAAACATTTGGTAGCCTCAATTTGCGGGAGAACTTGTCATTGTAATCTGCGTCGCTGGATCAAATTGGAGAGACGCAGAATATTGTAACAGGCTTCAATGAAACCATCATAAGTTCCAGCTTATTTTCATTATTCCCCCTAAGAAACACGAGTAAATTAGTTCGGTCTGCGAAGACTGTCAATTCAAAGGCCAAGTTCCACGGGTGAATTTTGGTACAGATAAGATAGTCGCAGTGCAAACACGGAGCCCTTTTTATAGATCGCCTTCTGAGCATTTTCGTAGGTCAGTGTGTAGCTGTATGAAGATATTCTGGGGTCATCGATACAAACGTCTGTGTCCTGTCGTGACCAAAAAAATCGTTCAGCTGTAAGACTTTCGGTGCCAAGCTGCCATGCCACACGAAGGAGGCACGAGGGCCAGGATACTGCCAGGTTGCCCAAGCCTAGACAGGGGAAGTCGAGAGGCAGAAGTCGGGTTCGAACCACGGACCTTCCGGTCAGTAGATTGGCGCTCTAACCACTTGGTCCATTTGCCAGGACCAAGCACCTGCTTGAAGTATTCTATCCGCTGTTGTATGCTCACTTCATGGGCGCTGATAAAAACGGTGCAACGTTATTGAGGTTAGTATTTCCATAAAGCCGCCCGTACGGAATGACAGAATCACCTTAAGACCCACATCGGATTCAAATTATTTGCTTACAGCCAGTATGAGAGGCGACCTGTTTTGGCGGATCTTGTGACCTGTCGTTTCAGTATACGATATCTGCTCTGGCTTGGTGTGCTTGCCTTTTGGAAACAGGCGTCTTCCGCAGATCTCATACACGGCCTATATGCTCCACAGTGGTTCTGTGAGCTTGGGTTTTTGACGATACTTCCCAATCGTTTACCAGAACTATGGACCTATTTTTTGAAAATAGGCACCATTGGCGTTTTTCCCTAGTTCATCACCTAGTTCATCTCTAGATCATCACCGGTTAAAGCTAGTCACTGAGTAGGCACGGTTGTAGTTGAAGTGGGCATTAGAATAACTCAGCTATATAATTTTGTCATTTTTCATCGCGGTTGCAGGGATGTATCAGAATGTTAGACAGTTTAATGATTGAAAAAGCACGGGGTCCCTGATTTGGACCGAGAAAGCAAGAACATTTGGTAGAATAAATACTAAGCATAAGTAGGTGGGTATGACAACTTGATTGGCCGGAGTTTTGTTAGTAGTGCTGCCCCTTATTCGGTAGTCTTAGATAGCCGATAGCGGTGACCATCCATCTTCTTAATATTATTTTTTGCATCTGTTTTGTGTATGCAGAAACGTTCATTACCTCCGTGGCTAGACAAGCCACTTTTAAAATTAATGAAGGCCAGACAAAAAGCTTGGAAACGCTACCGTCTAACTAGTTCGCAAGGAGCATACAATCGCTACAAAGAGATCAGAAATTTGGTCAACAGTGAGAAGAAACGCAAAAAGCAATTGTATGAAGAATCCCGACAGGATGCTACAGGACGACATGCTGGAACTACTCAGATGGGATACGGTAGTTCGGAGTTCCCCATGGAGCCTGGTCCACAGTATTCACCAATTCAGGATATATGGTCCGGCGACGGATTTTCCGATCGGTTCATACCAAAGCCTCACGGCAAGTCAGATGATAGAGGCCGTTTGCCTCAAGACCCGTACCGAGTTCGGGGTTCTATGAGGGTAGAAGAACGACATGGTCTATCATCCATGGTAGCAGATGACGACATTCCGCAATTCATCTCGAGCTACCGTCCCGTAAGTTGACCATGAAATTTTACTCTTTGGTTCACGTCTTATTTGCTGCATTTTGCTTTTGGTTTCGACCAACTTAGCAAGTCCACTGCGGTTACGTCTCAATGTTCATCAAATCCTATCCATTTCGTCACAAGCTCTGATATTTTTAAGAGCCCTGGCACTTTTTGACACTACTTGAATCATTATCATTCATCTATCTCCTGACTCCCAAGCTACCATCTTTATCACCTTTCCTTTTTCCTTACTTTCTGAACCTTTATCGGCCTCTCTAAACCGGTCATCAAAGTTCCATTAAGTAACAATCGGTGTCACGGAGAGTCGTATTTTTCTCATGGTACTGCCAGCTTCGTGATTCTTATTCTTCGCACCATGTTCAAAAGACAAGCCGAAAATGCAGCGGGCGAAACTGTGCTCGGTTGGCTGTATATGTTCTCTCTGGACCCATTAGCGAACATCTTCACTTTTAGAGCACCAATGCGTCGCTTTGGCGTTAACAGTCTCTATTATGTGTGTGCTGTTCCCATGCCAGCTGTCGCATTTCATACATGTATTAGTGATGACAAATTGGGCCCTGGTGAATGCCGTCGTCGCTGTTTCGCTTAACATAAACCTGTCGGCAATGGTAATCGTAAAGAAGCCGAGCTTGCTGGGGCGAGCACTGGCAAATCTGTCCCGGGACTGCGGATTTACTGTAAGTGCTGGCAAACGTGCGCGAGTAATTCTGCCTGCAAAGCAGTGCCATTTTATAGTTGCTCATTGTCCGTGGTGTACAGCTAAACAGAAATGCTATTATTTATTTGTGTTTTGGTATTGCAGCGAAATAGCTAATGGTTTTCAGCACATGAGTGTAGCAGTTACCCTTGTTTATCAATTGGAATATCCTGGGTGAAGAGGTTGCAAGCAGTCCATGAAGACTGATATGGCCGCGACAAGTTCACATGTAGATTCCATCTACCTCATATGTCGTGCGTGCACTTATTCGTCAGGGTCACGGATGGCCTGATAGCGCTGCAGAAATTTAACGGCCAGGTAGGTGCATGAAGGTGTTGCGAAAGCTCTGGTGTCATCCTCTTGTCTGCATTCTCCTCCATCGAGTCAGTGTAGTGCAACTGTTCAAAAAATTCTGCAATGATGCATCGAAATTTGGGAAATTTCATCCAAAAAATTGCATTTGAGCAGCTTCCAACCAGAAACTCCCACACATGGTTCAATATTTTATGGGCTTTTGTCTGTCGAACATGTGCTATTCCAGATGTATATTACAGTACATTACAGTACATTACTGTAATGTGTCACGATCAGTATTGACCACAGTTAGGGTCGTAAATTTAGCTTTTCAAACATCACATGATGGTTCTAACTGCGTCCGTCTGATGAAACCAAATAGTTCTCTTCGGGATTACGGTTTTAGTGTCTTGTCTTGACCGGAAATTCCAACAGGACAGTGATGTGAACTATCAGTTATTTGAGAGAACGAACGTCACACTAGACTATCACTCATGGAGGTGTGTAATCATATAGAGGTATGGCAGCTTAGTGACCCGAGCGTTATGCTCAAAGTCCACTGTGACCGGATAATACCGAAATACCACAAGTATATCTCCGTTTCACCACGTCTGACGTCTGTGCCTATTGTAGGGTAGACCTGTTTTAATCCGTTTTCTGACACTGCAAGCCGAATTTCACTTATTATGTTGTGGAGAACAAGTCATATCGACCATCAGTCCAAAATATCATTGCCGCAACGTGAAGGAAAAATTACAACAACCAAGTCGTCCTGACTTAAGGGCATCCGTCTGAGCCTTGAATTTGTAAATATCGATAGTCTTTACTGCTTACGTCCATTGTTGTCTGACTTCGAAGGCTATTTTCTGTAAATGGTGTGTCATTTCCGCTTATCGAGTCACCTCATTCACTCGTGCCATGAAAATTTTACATCCGTTCATTTCCAGTTTCCCTGAAGTGTAGATGGATCGAACTGTGGTGGTTGAACGAGTGCTTGTTCCAGATAACTTTGCAATTTTTCCACTTAGTAATCGTCTTTCACCTATCATACTGGTCATACTGCGGTTGTCGTTGCTGTTGTCAATCGAATAGCTCAGTTTCCACGAAACCTGGTTAGTTAGCAGGAAACCCACACCGTGTCCCCAAGCTCTGTCCAGTTTAAGAGGCCGCGTGACCGTAATAGCACGTTTGAAGTTTTACGTCATGTTAGTACAAAAATGAGTTTTGCTAATTTGGTGCATTTCTTGATGCTTGCCACCTCAGTTGATTACAGTTGAGTACAGCTTAGCGGTAGCTTATGTCGAAATTCGAGTGCTAATTTTTTTCGGTATTCATTCAGAAAGCTCACTCAGGAAGTCCCGGTTGTTTGGTGCTTTTTTCTAACTGGTGTTATTTTTTGGGTTCGTTTTAGCTCGGCTCAACGTCGAACATTTCGGTCTACGATCCCAGCCATAGCCATTCACAAAAAGTGAGTTTCCACTAGAGATGTTCCCACTTCTCTGACTAATTGGGACGAGATGGCTCAGAGCGCAAATTCACTGACTAGAAGGTCCGTGGTTCGAACCAGACTTCCGAATGTCGACTTCCCCTGTCTGGGCTTCGGCAACCTGGCAGTATCACAGCCCTCGTGCTTCCTCCTGGTGGCATGGCAGCTAGGCACCGAAAAGGTGTTACAGCTGAACCATTACTATTATTTATCATCTCTGGCTAATCAGGTCATCATTTGATTGTGAATGCATCGGTAAGGCTCAACCCGCATTACAAAGCTCTCGAATACTGATTGGTTAATACCTCGTCGGCGCTACTCAGTGTGATTGATTTAGTCGACACAATTCCACACTGAGGTCACGGAATGCTTCACTACATGCTCCTTCAAGTGCCATATACTACACATGATAAGTGACCACGGAAATCTTTGTCTCTTTGGGATGTAGCGTTGCCTGTGTCGTTAAAAGGAATTTCACCGAACGTGCCATTAATCACCAGGCGAATCCAACGTAATTGGATAACGTACAAGACATTGGTGCCTAAAAGAAAGCACACCAGAAATTATCACGTCCTTTTTGTGCTCTTATCCCATAAGTATGTCAAGGGTAATCTTTTCCAGCGCGTCAGGGTCTTATTTTGAACAAATTACTGGTTTATCGGCCCCAAACTAAATGTGACGTTCATGTGATGACTGTTAATTTTGACATTTCCTCGCGTGTTATTAAGAACCGCGCATTCATACTTTGGAGGTTAGCCACTTTGTGGTTGCCAGTATGTTCACCATATTGGATAATAAAATCGGCAGCAGTTTACCGCCATTGTTTTCCATTGGTATATCACTGTCGATGATGATGACGACGCTGTTGATGATATTGTAATCCGATGCCCTGTTAGGAAGCGTTTTACTTTGTCAGGCTAATTGCATGTGTTACAGCACTGATCCAGCCTTAGGGCAGATGAAGGCGAAACGTTGTCCATCAGTCAATTCCCGGATTGTGTTCCAAACTTTTTTGAAACCATAACTTCTCAGTCGGTTCCAAACGATTAACGGTGTTTCCTCAAATACGTACCAAGTTACGTACCAAGTCGGTACATCATTCATAACAATTAGAGGAAAACTTTCCTTACATTAATTGTTTTAAAACTTGATTGGCTATTCAAGATATCAGACACAGATATTATACATAAGTTCCCTGTTCCATCCCTTCCATATTCATTCAACCTCACTCTTGATTGCACCGCTGGGTTAGGTGTCCTACGGCTGGTAGGGATGATTTTTTCTGCACCTTGTTTCATTTAAGCCTCTGATGACGTTTTTCCGATTGGTGGACACCTTAAATGGATTTTCTGGTCAACAGAAATTATTTCATCTGGCCGTTTCTAGTATTTTGTTCAGGGCAGTACGCCAAATGACTCAGCTTCTTATTAAACATACTATGAGTAGATGCGAACCGTTGCCCGTGGTTTTCTTGTCCCTGGGTTGTTGTCTCATGACAATCTTGTTGTATACCTCTTTGCAGCGCGCTTCAACATCCGAAACCAAATCCTCAACAGGTGTTAAGAAGGTGAGTTACTTTCTCTGGTTATTTCTGGTGGAGGAGTGGACCCTGTTCACTTACTTCGTAAGCTTATGTACCGGGTATCCCAGCGGTTAACATAGCTGACACCCTTTCTTATAGGAACCGGATCTAGACATAGGTTCTTGTGCGCTTTTTCCAAATCCAGATTGTGAGCAGTGAGACCGGCTAGATGCTTAGCAGCACTTTCAGTTGGATGATGTATCTTAGGCTGGTTACTTCTCACGATTGGCTTACTGAGAATAAAGGAAAGGGGAATCCATTTGAGGCTTGTTTGGCTTTAGCTACCTCATTGGTATGGGAATCAACCCTTACAATACTGTATGACTGTTTACCAGTTCGAAAACACGAGGACAGACGTGTGGTTTACTATAATGGGTGCTTAAGTAGTCATAGAAGGTGTATAGTTCATCTGACCACCACCAGCGCGCTTACAAACACGTCGATATATACTCATCAATGTCGATTCCTTTCTGTGTTCTAATTCCGCGCACGCATGAGTTGGAATCAAATTGGTACTGGTAAGGACTAACCACAAACACATTCGTTCTCTCATTTTCTACTAATGGTAACATGCGGATGCCGGCCGTGGAAGTGAGCAGATGAGTTTAGAGAGTAGTTTCATAACGACTGTCTGCATTTTAGACAGAGTCGATACTTCCAAGATAAAGAGAGGCACCACTGTTTACATTCATTATTCTTGTTTTTACTGGTCGCTCGTTAGACAAGTAGACGAAAGTTGCAAAACTCCGGTATTCTGAGCTCTGTTGGGTAATACATGAACTCTGTAGTAGGATGTCACTGAACATGCCATCGGACTAGGATTGATCAGTAAATTAAACTCCACCTGTTGGCGTAAGTTGCAAACTAAGTTGCTGTTATTGGCGGACTCAATTGAATCCTAGTTGTATCCCTCTTTTATGATATTTTTTTGCAAGGAGTCGTTTGAGTCTCCCATTAACAGCACATTAATCTGCGAATGAGTGTATTTCGTGACTTGCCCACAGTTAGGTGTTCAGTAGGAACATTAGTTTGATGGAAACTGGGGGACTACACTTAATGAGCCCCAAGAAGGGCCAGATCGGTAGTGGGGTGTTATGTGTTATGTTAAGTTATGTTATGTTATGCCTGGTTAACTCGGGCTCACCGGCTGGCTACGAGAATTGTCCAGTACGTTTTGTGACGGTGCTAGTGGTTCTAGCTGTATGTGATCTGGGTTACATAATGCTCCAGTTAGTAGTACCCTACTAAAGTGGGGCACCATCTAGCGTGGGTTTAATCAATTCCCACACTGACTTTAAAGGCTGCTCAGTAATATTGTAAAGATAGAAATAATAAACTAATCGTCCAGCTTTAAGATCCTTTCAATGTCTAACTACCATGCTACCAGAATGAAGCACGAGGGCTGGGATACTGCCAGGTTGTCCAAGCCTAGACCGGGGAAGTCGAAAGACAGAGGTTGAGTTCGAACCACCGACCTTCCGGTCAGTAAATTCGTGCTCTAACCACTGATCCGTTTCACCCCACTGGGCGGATAGTACTTCCCTCTGCCCGTTTTGTTGGTGGGATAACAGTAGTCCCAGGAGTTGAGTATTTCATTTGCTTCCTTCACTCGCAGGCACAAAAGACGGAACATTTTCTAACAAGGACACTGATTATCAAACATAGCAGGGAAAGACGCCTTGGTTTACTCCCCTCTCCACGAACGCGGCGCTCCCAAGAAGGAACCACTTTAGTACTTCGATAATTTTCCGCAGTGGTAATCCTTACAAGCAACAACCGAGCAAGAAACGTTTTCTGATGCCTTCAACCTCACGTAAAAATCACCATTCCCAAGTGATACGGATTTGCTTGAGTTCCTCCAGACACCGACAATTGAGTGAGCCAAGCTAACAGTCAATTGATGAGTGAATATCGATGTGAACAGTCATAGTCACTCCTTACACCAAGCTTGAACGGTTGCTCAGACTGATATGTAGGTGTGACGACAAGCTACAATTCGAAGTGTGCGCACTTCATAACAACAGTAGATAAACCTGAAGCGCGCAGACTCAAACAAGGAGTTGTTAGTGGCTGGTGGGACTTTTTGGGAAACCTATGTTCAAGCTGTCATCCACAAGACACTGTAAATAGATCCCTTATTTCTGTCTGCTTTTCTGTGTCAGGCCTTTAAAGTTAAGAACCTGAAGCGCGCAAACTCAAACAAGGAGTTGTTAGTGGCGGGTGAGACTTTTTGGGAAGCCGATGTTCAAGCTGTCATCCACAAGACACTGTAAGTAGATCCCTTATTTCTGTCTGCTTTTCTGTGTCAGGCCTTTAAAGTTAAGAAAATTTGGGTAGTGTGTGCATTAAAGTTCGAGAAAACCAAGTGATCAGCAGTGGTCAGTAGGTGAATTGGAATTGGTGCTGCTCTAAAAGAAAACAAGACCATTTGATATGTGGCGCATGACGTGCTCGCTGAAATGATGGAACAACAAATGTGCAACCGAAAACTGAAGGTTCTCTTGCTGGTCTCCAGTGGACTCATATAAGGCTGTTGCGAGCTAATCCTGTTTTCAAACCACAGTCGTTTGACTTCACTATTGACCCAACAGCTAAACTGGATTATAGGGCCTGTCTCGTCAGATATCTAATGGATGCCTATGACACAGCCAATGTATTGTTGAAGAATATGGCTCACCTGACTCGCTTTTGTATTCCTATATGGATCTCTCTTGCATACCTCAATTACGAACCGGTTTGCACAGTTTCAGATACATCCTAGCCGCAGCAGTTTCCCATCAGGACGATAAGTTAAATCGGTACTCTGGCTGTTCTTCGTTTGTAGCTTCACTGCAGTGCGGCACCAATTTTCAACAATGGTGTTGCCACATTTTAGAGCAGGTGGTAATTCTGCCCCAAATTTTATCCAATTTAAGTTACTTTGTTTCTTAACTTATCGTACACTCGTTATTTTTCTATTCCTATATCTGATATAGTTGAAATCATCTTTCGAGCAGAGCGCCGAAGAGGAGGTTCCTTCCCGAGTGCTTTTCATTCGCAATCTTCCGTTGGATATTACAGAAACAGAGGTGGCCAATTTGGCATTACCCTTTGGCGTCATATCGAATATGGTCATCACAAAACGTAGTGGATTGGTGAGTTATCTGGCACTTCCTTATTCATCTCTGTCGACCTTCCTGGTTGGAAAAAGCACGGTTTGTGTTAATGTTTGTCTGCTACTAATTAAGGGTATTTTGTCGGGTCACATGCTGTGTAGGCCTGTTCAGATATCGTTACCACACCACTCACTCCTCCTATCATGCTGAAAATGGCTACAATTCACCAGCTGACATGCATGAGTTGATGAATCTTAGTCAGTCAACTGACAAGTCCAGGCATGCTTGTCAAAAACACTGTTGCGAGTGATGGTTGTGGCCGCTTTATTTCGCTTCTGTCAAGTGACTCCGTTTTAAGTCCTTTACTGCGCGCTCCTGGCCAGCAGGCTTTAGATGAAGTTCGATAACGAAAATCGTCTTCGTACGGTGTGAACACGACGAACGTAGACATAACATACTACTTGCGAGGTTACTGGTGACCCTTCGACAGTCTACCACCGGTTCCGCCCTTCTTGGAGCCCATCAGATAGTCACAGTTGTTGAGTTTCTGTCAACCTTATGTTCTAGTTGAACCCAAATTGCACGAAATTCGACAAACACTTATCTGCACACCAGGTTGGTGTGCAACTTCGGAGGAAACTTGCCTGAATCCCAGCTGAATCTCCCGTTTTTTCTGTTCTTGCACTGCGCCTACCCAATGAATCCAAAGGAGGGAGAAACCGGTCGTGGGCTGTCGAGGAGTTTTTACCAACGTTACGACTAGTTTCCTACGTCTATATAATGTGTTTAGCAGCCTGGTGCTGCACTTTCCATTGACGGGGAACACCATTAGTGAGTGATTCAGATGGTATTCAGGTGAGTCTCCCATGAAGACCACATTGGCATACAAATTAGAGCATTTGTGAAAGCCTGGACGTATATTTTGAACCACACTGTGTTCTCTGCAGAATGCACCTTTTTTCCCGCCTCTTTTCATGTATCTGACAGTTGCATCGGAACCGTTTGTTCCGGATTGTTGGATTTCCTCTTTGGAATTTTTTTGTCAGCCGGATATAATTGTAATTATTTGTAATAATGTTTTCGTTCTACGTAACAAAGTTCTTTTGCAGTATCAGGCAATGTCACGAGATTCCGACTCGTTTTCAGTCTTATTTTGGTGGTTTCTCTCTTTAGGCGCTTATTGAATTGATGGATCAACAGGCGGCGGAAAATATGGTGGACTATTATGGTACAGTATATGCCCCCATAATCCGTGGCAAGGGTCCTGTAGTTGTGAGCTTCAGCCGTCACACATCCCTGACAACCACTACAACTAGTCAGCAGGTCGCAGAGGCTATTATAAATGCGAATAAAAGATATAGTCTATCGGCTGTTCAGGACCCCATCACGAATCCGCGGTCAGTCATCCGAGTTCAACTCTACCAGACTCCAGTTGGGGTGCACTTTGGATATCTTCAGTTCTACAATGTAAGTGCTTGTATTCCCAGTAAGGTAATCTAGCCGCGTTTCCGTTACTTTGAACCAAACTGGAGACTTTTCTTTCCCGCTTCATGTAAGATGAAAAACTGATCTGAAACTGATCTGCCAGATTAGTCCAAAGCAAACAGAAGTGTTAGTGGGTAGGGTCTCGCTACATCATGGATATAAGCATAACTGTGGAAGCTTTATGCGCTTCACATGCAAACTTTAGTTAATCACAGACGGACAAAACTCCCATGATTCCCATAGGTCCTGGGAAGTCATCACTCAAGGACTCAGTCCACGTCGACTCACGTAGCGTGAACTATTGGACCGAGGGACAGTAACTAAGCTCACCATTGCTGGTGAGCTATTTGTGGCCCAACGGTATAGCCACGACCAGAAGGTCGCAATTTCATGTTTGGGACGAGATAAGCACTGCCATTCATAAGACGAGGAATTTGACGTGTGGTGCTTGCGAGGGTCTACGAAATAAGCAATGGATTTAGGAACTTACACCGTCACCGATCGATGCGACATATGATATCATTCCGAACGCTGAGCACAATTCATCCAGAAAGGCCAAACACAGTGTGCGGACGGTTAGTGAAACTCAGTGCAACCAGAATATCCTGAAAATGTAGGATGCTAATCCACTTTGGAATCTTTGGAAACCTTTTCAATTGATACACAAAACGTGACTGGAAAAACGGATGTTAGTTGCACTTTTGTCGCATTTGTTACATCTTGTCTCACTGATCTCCACCTAAAGTGGGATACAAATTGGTTTGCGATTGCATAATGGAAGCGGTTTTTGTTTACAGCTTTTCACGCAGTTTGGAACCATCCTCCGAATCGTCACTTTTAAAACAGGCACTGTTCCTAGTGCCTTTATCGAATTCCAGAGTCCCATTTCCGCACACGTGGCAGTTTTGGTGAGTCGGTATACTCTCACTGCTTTCTTTTGAATGTCGTTAACAGGCACAGTTTCAATTAACCTAAATCTTTTTACGGACCGACAAAATTGAATCTTGTCATGTAGGCACCATCCATATTTTAACGATAACCTGGGATGCCATCGTGACCAATTCAACTTACCCAACTTTCACCGCCCAAAGTGGATCCTCTACCCCGAAACATGCCAGACCGAAGCAATAAGGAACGTCGCGTGGTTTATTCCATCCGGAAATGAGAAACATGAACTACTGACAACATCGTATCCGCTTTAGTTGCATATCTCTAGGGCTTACATACAAGATACGCTCAAATTTGCGAAGAATCGAAGTGCACACCCGTACAAATGCCAATCAATGCTAACGACGTCTATAGCATCACATTACCACAAAAATTTTGGTTTCCGTTTCTTGAGCAGAAAGCGAGTAGCATTTATCGTGATCTGTCGTCACCATCAACTATGATAATGACAATCTATTTGTCGATGTACATCGTTTACTTTCAGCCGGTATAAATGCCTATGGTGACACGACGGCGAATCATTTCCCTAGGAAAATCTATACAAAGTATTTCAATATCGTCTACAGCATCTAAACATTGACTTGTTTTAACAGGCTAGGATTGTATTGGTTGGACTAACACAACTCTGTGAATTTCTGTTTAATGGAATAGATTCTTCCTGGAATGTGTTCGTAAGTAGAGGCAATCAAACCAACTCAAATGGAATAGCCTGTGGTAGCACCTAAGGAATTTATATATGTCACTGTCCAGTCATTAAAGAAGAGCCCGCAAATCCTGTGAGGAGCACCCAAAAACGCAAACCGAAACCGGGGCTGATAATTTATGCCTTGCAGCAGTGCTAGCATTGTTCCGCAAATGCCCACTGGTGTGCATGCGCGCTGTATTCGGGGTGCGTACTGTTTAGGCGTTCAAATTCTCAGTGATCTTTTCACTTTCCTCAATTTTTCGGTGATGCATCTGCGGGCCTAGTCACAGAAATCAGTTCACTAGGATATTCTTCGTAAAGGCGATTGTCCCAAACTTTCCGTTTGGAACCTTAGCAAAACCTTGGTGCATAACACCCTGTAATATTCGTCTGGATTCAGACAGCCATACTGGGTTTCAGTCTTCTTTGTGGTGGAATCGCTGTAGAGTTTGCATACTTTTAGGTACCAAGTGTAACCCAAAGAGTTACTTTCGATAATTATCTAATTTATGCATAGTTACCGGAGGGCAAGATGTGGGTTGTTACATTACCCGAATGGTGAGCATTTTTGATTGAATACATTTTTGATTCCTTAATGATTTCATCCTTGATAGGCCGTGATATGGTTTCTTTGCCCGCCGAATCACTTCTCGTTAGTTGTTAGTATATCCGTTTTCTTCACCATGCTGTGTTCACAGCAAACTGATGGGGCCAACTTTACGCTCGAGGAAGCCCCTGGTTCTGGGCCTTGTATGATGCGAACGGATTTTTCGCGCCAGTCTACTGTAGAAGTTCGTTCTGAAGATGTCAACTGTCGTGACTTTACGCGGAATCCTATGCCAGGTTATGGAGATAGCGACGCGGCAGCACAGTCTCAAAATGGGCTACTAGGCAGCGTAACACCTGTCGCTCCTTTGGGTCTTCCGACAATTGGAGGCGTACTAGACTACTTGACTGAAGAACGACTTTCCCTACTAGATCCGAATGTCCTTTCTGAACTTGCTTCGCGAATGGTGAAACCATTGTGTGAGTTCATTCTGCTCACTGTTAGCGTGCATTCAGAACATTGCCTTTTGGTCTATTTTTTCATAACCACCGTCTGGCTTTTGATAATGGCAAGTGTTTCGCATGTGATCACGCTGGTTCGGAGTCTTGTCTAACCACAAATAGTAAATTTCACTCCCCATTCACGCTTGCCAGCCAGCGAATTTCCATAGCGGAAATTCCCTAGCGGAAAATGTACAGCGGTCCCTACGATATATTAGAACCCCACAAAACTACGGGGGGAATAAGTTACCCACTGTGACAACTGATTTAAATGCTTCGGTTACAGAACTGAACTGGTCGACCACGCACCTTTGTGTACCAACCTCTGAAGCAGTGTTATCACTTCCCTAGGTAATAGTGGCGTTTCCTAAAAAGCGCTTCCCGCCTTCCTTCATCTTAAGGTGATCTTGTGAGATAGCAGCGTTGTTGAGAGCAAGAATACAGCGCTCTTACTGGTCTTGTTTTGTGAATGCGATACCTTTGCCTATTCCGCACTTTTTGCTTGTTTGCACTGCATAAACGGCACTGTGGCTGTTTGAATCGACCTTTGCAAAAAGTTCGGAGGGCATTCTCTTGACAATCACGTACAGTGCACTAGTCGTGCAGGTCTGTGTTGTGTTACATAAGCCCAAGAATCCTTCATCCAAGTGAGCACTATTTTTTCGACCAACTTAAGAATAGAAAATATCCGGTGTGCTTGGTAACCAAACAGTAAAGCCGAGACTTCATATGTCAGTTGCGTCATACGCTAAACAGGATCCGCTCATACTATCTGTAGTTACAGGCTGTCAGCAAGATAGCAGAGGTCTGACGAAGCGCGTTATGACATGCTCGTTGCATCTGTTTGCTGGTTTTAGTGTCGGGAACTTGTATTATCTGTTTTGTTAGATACAGTTGTAAGTTATTAGTTTTACGTCAGCTTCATACGTGTGCACGCTTGGGAATGGGATTGAACCGATCAGTTGTCCTGTCTCCACTTCTGTTTGTCGATTGCTTTCGAGTAAGCAGCACGCACCTACTCACCTTTAACATTTGAGGCGTACAATCCCGTTGAATTCCAGTTCGTTAAATCGGGTATGGTGGCACCTCAGCTCGTTCCCCCCCCCCCCCTAAAGACACCAATTTGTCACCGTCTCGCGGACTTCACCGTCACATTGATGGACAGAACGGTAAATTTCGGCAACTGTGGCTCTGTTGTTCTCAGTCACGGTCTACTTTTATTGAGAAATCAGGAAATATCAACATTTTTGCATGTCAGTGGATTTCTGTTTGGATACGGGAGACGAGAATCTTTGGGAGACAAGTCTAGATCTCCTGCCTTAATCTGAAGCGCGTTTTTGATGCGGCCTGATGAATTTGGTAGCGTGACCTTTCGTGCAAATGGCCAGTTCCATTGCTTTTGTGTAGTACGGCAGATCATGCGATGTGCTGTGGCAAATGAGCTCGGTGATCAGCTTAGGCTTATGTAGTCAACAATATATGCATTCCGGAATGCTGTGAACCCAATCGCTCGATACATGCTCATGTGTATGCCTCTAATCCGGTTAAATCGCGTAGTTCTCTAGACAATCATGCCATGAGAGATAGGATATTTCTACCCTTTCAAGATGAAATGAAGATCGCTTGGTTCGGTCAGAGAGAGATATCACGTGACACTGATCAACTAACGTAGAGCTGCGAGCGACTAGCAACACAGCGATTATATTATGGTCGAAACGAAGTGAAACCACAGAACGTTTCACTTGCTGTTTCGTGAAGGTATCTTTGTGACCCGTACATGCTTTAGTTCATGTACCCTTGAATCCAGTTAATTAACGTATTCTATCCCTGAACGTCTCTCCGAGCCCCACGGTACCACGCATTTTTAACCTGTTCCTATTCTGCTTGGTTATACTCTGACGCGAACCAATAATTTCACTTTCAGATCGACTATCACGTAAACCGTATCTCTGAGGTTAATGCGAGTGGATTCTCCCGATAGTCCAAATGTGACCGATAATTTTGGCTAATTTCATTCAGTTTCGAAGAGAAGGAGAAACGTTTGCTGAGGATTTTAGGATCAAGGAGTAACTCGAACAACTTGGCCGTTTAGTTGCCAGGCTCATTCCTTGTTCATTTTATGAGAGTTATGTTCCAAGTTGGATGAGACGGGAAAATAAAATAAAGCATAAACGGTTTTTCCCATGGGATTCACCCTATTGTCACACAACTGAGAATGTGGTCCACCTACCCCCACACACCTCTAGTAAGTATCTCTCCTCAGAACGGGCTAGATCTCCAGGTGGTCCCTGTTAGAAGATGAGAGATTATCTTTTTCATTTAGTCCTAAGCTTTGATTCATTGAAAGCTTAAATTCGAAATTTATGCAATGCACCTACGTCGATAAATTAATAGCAAAAGATGAGTTCAGAAAGACGTTTTCCATGGGACTAAGGTTTTGGAAGGCATGTGTGTCTACGAGAATAGCTACTGGCGTCAAAGCGTTATGGCCTGGTTATGTCGACTTCGAGCCCACCACGATTCTGACTGTTGTTGCATGTATCGCCACTTTCACATTAAAGTCACTTTTCTTGCTTCAGTGAAGGCTGCCCTTAATGTAGGGGGTCAACAGTCTAATTTCTTCAAGTCGCAGGCGGAAGTTTTGGAACATCTTGCTCCTTACGTTCCTTCAAACACTGCTGCCCTCGGAATGCAATCCACCGCATCCCTAGTGGCCAGTTCGGTCGGCAAAGAAGATTCGACCCGCACCAACCAGTCACCAGTCGTATTCGTGTCCAATCTGAATCAAGAGGTAGGTGTCCCTCTACTTTCTACTTTTCCTGAAGCCAGGATTCGTCCACTTCTTTTTTCAGTTATTTTGCGAAACTACGTGATATCCTACGGAGTAGCTGGTTCTTATCCATCCCCTCCCTCTCCCTTACTGAATTTTTTGGTGAGACCTGTTGTTTCGTTCCAGCGTTCACCGTCTGAGTTGTGAGAGGCCTCAAAGGTGGAAACCTTCTTCCCAGCATCCGCTGACGAAGTGGATTAATGGTGCTATGATGCGTGAAGCGTTGCACCTTGCAAGCCGGAATAGAGCTGAAGGATTCCATTGAGCTTGCTCTGGATTGTCCGTTACCTTTCAAGAAAACTGGTTGAGATATGTGGTTATTACTCTTCACTCTCTGCTGAACTATACATTATGATCCGGGTTATCCAATGCACAGTGGTGGTACCTTCACTGCTTGACCATCGCTTATGAATATCACCATTCGGAAACTTCCCATCTGTTACAGAAATGCGGTAGCAATTTACAGTTTTATCCAAAATAACTGTGAGATGTAAATTTATTGCCAAAGGTCGCGGACCTACAACAGTTCCAGGAACTGAACTACGCACTTTCCTCCTACTTCGTCATCGTCGCTTGGAACATTGCGTCACTAGCACATACAACGTATCATGCAATCGTACGAGGAGAAACTGTAAGGGGAACACTGAGTGCGAAAACCCTCTGTGTCCGTAGCAAAACTGATCGCGGGCAACGCGCCCGCCCCTTTAAAAAACCTTCTGAGTAAACTAACCTCACCACAATACCAGAGTAAGTCGATCACTGGGTGGATTTTACTTGCATCTGCGCACTACATCCAGCACAAACCTGCCAGTCAATGGCTGACGAACTTCAGCTAGGCAGTCTACGATCCCACAGGGGAATACCTCCAGATGGCTCCTTAACTGGGAGGACAGACAATCTATTTTCGATGCTTCCTGCGCACTTATTTGATGGAAATACTCTTGTTTGTGAATGTTTTCGACATTTTTCTCATGATATGCTTCGCCATTATATCCAGAATAAACACCCCAATTGCTCACACACTTTGCGTACATGTAATTGCAACATGCTAGCTCGTCAACATGACTATTCTGCACGGTAGTCGCAGGGTCCTATCGCTTGGGTCACTGTGAACGAGCTTGAAGCGGAGCTGTCTCTCCAAGGGAGATGCAGTGGAGAAAATATGTCACTCGGAAGACGATTTCTGACTAATGACGTTCAGTTAACGTGCAGTCACCCGAAAACTTTGATTTTTTGAGGGAGAGGACAGGTCATACTCTCGTTTGCATCTTACTCGCACCACATTGTGCTGGTGGTAGACTACAGTCATGGATTTACATCAACAAGCACTTATGTTGCCCTTCAAGGAAACCCTACGCTTAAAACGAAAGTCGAATCAGTCAGCTGAGGCGTTCTCTGGGCCCATTGCTTCCATTCAACTTTTGAGAAGTATGAGGGTTAAGTTATCTCCTGGTCGCCCGGAAACACTTGCGCGGCCATAGTGAATTTGAAATGTAATTGTTCTCTTTAGAATAGGCACCTTAACTTCTACACTGCCTTACTTTATTACCACCGATTTGTATGTGCTCCTGCGGTCAACCAACACTGTCGTTTCGTAGTACGTCAGTGTTCTATGAGTATCTTCGTTTCCTCATTATCTAACCACTTGTAACAGTACTCTGGAAGATATGTTTTCACAGAAGCGCCAAAAGTTCTCATTGTGATTTCGGTTGGTTCAACTGAGCTACTCAGGTTGGGATCCTTCAGAGTGATTCAAATGTGCTTCCTGTTGGTTCTTTCATTACCTGAAAACCAACTGAAGTGATGACACTTTGCCTGCATGGAAAGGATGTCTTTTTATTTCTTATCCCCCAAGCTTTATACGGGGCTCCTGCAGCGGGCTGTGAAAGTTAGCGTGATTAAATAGACGATCCGACTTCACATCTAGTTTTGTAAACGCTTTAACCCTGTCAACTGGATTCTAAGGCCGCTGCCGTCAAGTCTTCGCACGGAAATTAATGACTAATATCTGAACCACAGGCACTGTTGCCTTGTAAGGAACATGGAATATATGGGCCCACTCAGCCGATAGTGGAAACCATTCTTAGTTATTCCAACATTCCTCGAAACTACAAAATTGGACAGGTGTCGCCCCTCAGAGCCTCTTTCGATTGATGGGGTTTTAGCCATCATTTGAACTGCACACCCATTAGACGCCTGTTCTGAGTTTCATCATATTACCTTTACTCTTCACTGCAACGTTATGCAATTTACCCTTCCTTCCAACGCAAACTCAATCCGATATGAACATGGGGCTTGATGCTTCTCTATTCAACGCTTGTCGACCTGGTGAACGAATCGCGTGACGCGTGTATATCCCTTGGTAACCCTGAATTTGTTACCACTCTACTCCTGTTCTACCATTGCCTTCTTTCTCTCGGACTCGTGGATCTTACGCGCTACTACCACCTAAGCGCATCACACCGGACACCTTGTTCACTCTGTTCGGTAAGAGTGCTTTTCACGGTTGTTCTGTCTTGTTCTTTGTTGTCGTAGGCTTCATACATACTCCCGTATGCTTCCGCAGGTTGTGACGGAATACTGCTATTGTCTTGTTTCGGTTCAGTCCATACAGTACCGAAAATCCTTGGCACTCACAGCTAGGAAGGAAGCAACATAAGTGGGAGACACCACTTCCTTCTAACATCGGGGATCTATTAGTTATTCGGGACTTTTCCCGAAGTCAGTTTCCAGTTTGATGTTACACGATACTAAAGCCTAGAGGCTGGTGAGAGGAATGGTGTATCTGTGTAGCTTCGGACTTCCTTCAGTCATTACATTCTGGGGCTCATAATTGTGTGAAAGAGCTTGCAGCTCATAACGCACAATCTGCTCTAGTCCCTGATCTTTCATTATAATTTTACCTTGTGTGACGGTGTGTTAGAAACCGGTGTCCACGTCAGTTCTGCAGCGGACACCGGTAATCTTCTTTTGGGGGCTCCTCATCCCGTCTTATTGTTTTCCGGTATCCACGTAAAACAGACACTCAGGATTCCTACATGCTCTTTGAGTGCAGAAGGCCGGGTTCTTCATTTTCTCGAATGGACCAGCGAGCTTCTTTCCATATTGTGTTTTCACTAGCGACCTTTATCAGGTAGCGTCGCTCCGTATATCAGATGATGTGAACCTACGTGTTTTGTTTTTGAGGACAGCTGATCCTCATATTGCCAGTGTCGGTACCAGCTATTTAAACGTAGGTATTATCCTACAAAGATGCACCTTTTTCACTCGGTGTGGCGTGTTCCCACCGCCTTAAATTTGAATCAACCGTGAGAAGCGCAAATTTTTCAAACAATATTTCCAGTTCACTATGAAAAGTTGCAAATTAAGGGCAGCTGTTTACAAATGCCAGTTAAAAGATGACGATGACAGATTTATTGTTATTGCCCATTAGGCTTGTGATTAATTCCCTGTGTAGTGTCGAAAGAGCGTTAATCAATAGAGATGCATAAGGAGTAAGTACAATTTTCGTTGTCTTTGTTGAGACATCTGTGGAGAACGACTAATAGCCCAACGAGATCATGGGCTCGCCCACCATAGGAAATGATGCCATACATGTTGGTAGTGGATAACTGTAATCTCACTTGCCCACTGCGTATTCTTTAAGGCTTGATTCCGTCGCAGGTTCTTTTGCCTCTTTTTGTTCAAGGAGTTTACGGAGATGTTCAACGGGTGAAAATATTACATAACAAAAAGGATAGTGCCATGATTCAACTTGCCGACTGCAACCAAGCCCAAATGGGTAAGCTCCCAATGCGATGCTCACTCTGTTCTATAACGTTTTCACCGAATGGATAGCTTAGCCTATTGACATCCATAGTTTCATTGGGAATACTTTCATTGTGGTATATTGGGTAGGATGCTGTTAGTGCTGCCTAACAGAATGATGCAATTTAGTAACATTGTTTTATCACGAATGATCTGCTAGAAGAGTGGATGCATTTGTAGCAAGATGATGATAACATCCGTCTAGTGTATGATGCGTCAACATTGGTTAGTACTCAGCTACGCCTTATCATGAGGACTGGAAATCAGGAACCGACTACCAACAAGTTGAAACAGGCACTCTTCGTCAATCAGAACCAGTCAACACGTGACGCGGGTTCACTGGTTTCATATTCCATCTATATGCTAGTTAATCGCATCACTGATCGACCGCCCGTGGCCCGTGTTCTACCACTAGGTCGCGGGTTCCAATTGTCCTGGAGCTTCGTAAGTTGTGCATGGCTGAAACTATTGGGTATGCGGCTCAGCAGAACCCAACAGCTGCCGCAACTTTCAGCACAGCCAGTTGTCCCACCACCAGGACGAAAACTTGCCGTACACATCTCTGCATGAATATCCTACTCTACTTCGGTGTGAACAGACATGTCATTGCGTAGAGCTAATTGACTAGGCAAGCGTAGACAGTATGTGGATTGAATCTATTTGTTGTTCTTTCAAACCACTGATGTTGTAGATTCCAAGGTGATAAGTACACCGGCACGGCTGGTATTCTGTTTTTTTGTAGTGTAGTCCACTTTCTTACGAATCAGCGGTTTATAAAATGGAAGTTCGTTTTTTTTTGGGGGGTATCCTTGCTGCTTTAGGTTTCTTTTATTTTGGCTTCATCTTCGCCAGGCATATTGTTAAACTTCGACTGTCATTTCAGTGGTACAATTCATTTGCCGACGCACCTCACGATACAAATGATATTGCACGCTGACCTTATTGACCTTTGATTACATATAGCCTGTAGCGATCCTCCAGATGGTCACAACAGCAGCTTAACTCACCTTGGTGAGTATCATTCATGATGTGCTGTCACGTCCACCAAAACATTCTTTGTTGGAGGTAACTAATAACGAACCTCAATCAGTCAATTGGTCAGTCAGTCATGGACCATGCGAGTACGGTGCAACTGCCAAGGTACTTCGATCTGGTGCTTTCTAGCTGTGCATTGCTGTGTTTACTGCGGCTGCACGTTCCTTGATAACAGTACTGCCACCTGAAATGAAAGTTTTACGCCCAAAGTGATGTAGAGGATATTCCATCTCTGGCCTGATTCGTTCGTCCTAGATATGAAGGTCGAGAAAGGAGGGAATATTTCAGTTGCAGCATCACAAAAGTGTGTTCTGATACCGCGCATGGCTGGTATCTTATGAAATGGAAACACGAGTCAAACTTTGATACAACGGGTGTAGCTTATTGTAGGCTTGTTGATTAGCCCCTACCCACAACTTGACAACAGGTGTTTGTAGATGCTACTTCATTCAACCATGGTCATTCAATCACTAATGGCTCTTATTCTGCCCCCTCACTTCTCAATGTTTCCCTATTTTCACTGCACAGCTGTGAACTATCTAGATAAAGTTCCGTTATACGGAAAGCAAATGCGTTGCACTTTGTCGAAAAATATGGCGGTTACCATTCCAGTGCCTGGAAAGGACGACTCAGAGGCGAGTGCTGAAAACATCAATCAACTGAATCGGGAATACATTGGTCATCGGTTGCATCGATTCCGGCGCCCGAACGCTCGCTATCTGCAGAACCTGTGCGCACCAAGTAAAGTTTTGCATATATCCAACCTGCCTGAGCAAGTCACCGAAGATGACTTGACTGATGTGTTTATGCGTGTTGGTGGGCTTCAAGTGGAGGCCGTCAAATTGGTCAAGTAAGTTTCTTATTCTTTTAAACGACGGTTTTTTAGATGTACCTGAGACTTTCCAAGAACTTAGTCTTTCTTTGGTGCATGTGCCTTCGGTTGTTACGGTCTAGACTAAATTTGAATATATATTCTGGCTTTTGCAACTGGTCATGTGGTGCATCCAGCTGAAATGATTGCCATTCGTCGGTCCAGTCACCTGCTTCTGTGATATTCATTCCCTTCTGCGATAGGGATTGTGGTTGCCCATTGTGCGAACAGGTCGTAAACGAACGATTAAGTTGGACGCCTCTCTCTGAGATCTAGATTTTCTTTTTTTTTCGATTTCCACAATGCATTTTGGAGGTCGTTATCTAAGTTTTCGTTCAGCTATAGCACCCTTCCGGTGCCTAACTGCCAGGGGATGTCGAGAGGCAGAGGTCGGGTTCGAACCACGGACCTTCCGGTCAGTAAATTCGCGCTCTAGCCACTTGGGCTAAGTTTTAGAGAAACATTTCAAACGCATTTGCATGTAAGGGAGTTCAAAGTATCAACGTTTCTACGGTGTCGAACTTACCAGTAAAATTGTGTTTTTCTTACTGTTGTGATGCATTTCAGTTTTGTTAGGATAGCGGAGAATCCTTCTGCGTACGGATTAGCTTTTGTCCCCACAGCCCCACAAAAAAACGCATGGCTCAGCTTGACAGATTTACTTTGGACGGTTATTGGCGCGGGTCTTGAAACTATAGGCGGTAACGCTTTAACGCGTGTGACGCTTTCAATTTTTCTGAAAAGATTCAGCGGTTAGCAATCACTGCTTACCGGTTTTCATAGTTAGCGACCTACTCGCATTGTTCATTTTCAGGACGCCGAAACCCATGGCACTGGTCCAGCTTCAAGATGTCGAGAAAGCTGTTACTGGCTTGATAGTGAGTTCGGTTGCATTTTCCCATGTCATTGCATGTAACATTTAATCACATTCCTTTTAAAGAACACTTACAGATTAGGTTGTTAGTAAGTATCTGTTAAAACTGAAACAACTATATTGTTCAGCTGTAGCACCCTTTCGGTGCCTAGCTGCAACCCAAAGGAAGCACGAGGGCTGGAATACTGCCAGGTTGCTTAAGTCTAGACAGTTGAAGTGGAGAGGCAGGGGTCGGGTTCGATCCACAGACCTTCCTGGCAGAAAATTTGCGCTCTAACCACTCATCTATCTCGCCCCTACTGAAACACCGCGCTCTAACCACTCAGCCATCTCGCCCCTACTGAAACACTTAAGATTTGCAAGCAAATGGACAGCAGAGCAGTGTGGTTTTTCACCTGGACTGTTGATTGAATTTGTAGGTACCTCGAACTACTTATGAAGGGACAGCACTAGCCTGTCACATCCACGGTAGCAGCCTCTACGCTCATCAGCATTGTGGAGGTTTGTACGTTTGCTGTTGGTATGACAAGTTTTGTCGAAATTAGTCTACTTGGGTGAACTTTAGAGGTGATTATGTTTTATGTCGTCAGCACATGTGTTGTAGGTAGCTCCGGCTTCTGTTTGGCTTTACCTTGTTTTTAAGGGCATCTTAGTTTCCTCGTTTTTCTCATTCTGCTGAAATTAATATCTTTGGGTAGTAACCTTTTAAAGGCAAAACCATTTTCCACCCTTATTTAGGCCTTGCATGACTACGAACTTGTGGACAATATGCACATGCGGGTCTCCTTCAGCAAGTCTTCAATTCGTTAGAGGCCTGTTTCCACAATTTTCCGTTAGCCGTTGCTTCTCCCTCTTTTTCTACCATTCATTCGCTCACCCGATTTGTTTCTCATGTGCCCACCTGATAGCACGGTCATATTCCACAAGTGAGCATGTTTCATGGAAGCAAAACATTTCTCTATTGACTGCATTTGTATTCCCCTCTATGGATTTGTGTTAGCCTCCGCGATTCATAATACATGCACTAATGTTCGAATCGTTGTTTATGATTCTCTTCAGAGTATTCTGTTTGTTTGTATTGATTTTGTTTTGCTAACTCTGTTTTCTGTGTTTGTTGGGTATCCTCGGATTGTCCTGGTGGGTGTGTGGTCAATGAACTCTTCTTGGAAATGTTGATACAAGCCTTACCCTTGTGACGCCTCCACATATGGTTTGTCTCCCACCATAATAAAGCCCTTCATTCATGAGCCTACCGTACCGGTCACTTAACATTACACCATCGATTTTTGCAGTCTGGTGACTAGGGACGAGCTGTAGTAATTTGCCTCATCAACGAGGATTGCTTTGATGTTGTTCACCGCCCTTTTTCGAGCTGTCAGCTAACTCGTGGTGACGCAGCCTAGGATCGCGGTTCTCACCTGATAGGTAGGAGGGCTTGAAGTAGAGCCGTTGTGCGAGCACACTAGCTCCGTTAGCCGGTGATCATTAACGCCGTTCGGTCGCTGCATCAATTTCCGCCTCACTGGTGCCCTTGAAGTCCAGTCGTATGAGATCGATTCCTCCGACAAAATGGTCGTCACGTTTGTGTGCACTAATAAGAGTAAATAGGCTTCCGTACGACAGTCACTCAGAATTTAAACCTAATCCAGTGTCTGTCATAAATCTTTGTAACTGGTCGTTCAGCTGTCCTCTTAAGTATCCGTAAGATTTGGGGTCCTTTTGGTGCGCCTACGTGGAGTCTGTTACGCATAATACCTCTACAAAAACAGTGGGATTTGTACTACTTTCAGATTCAGTTTGTCGTTTCTGCTTCGCGTACACAGTGTTTTGTGCGATCTCTCAAACTATCTCCCTACAGATGTTTGGAAGTTATGTGGGTGGTCATCTTCAGTCCTCATGACTCAGTTGTCCTTCTCTGGTTGGGAAATCAGTTGTTTTCCATGGTAATAAGCTGCGGACCTTTCCCATCCGGTACAGGTGATCAGCACAGACGTCCGCATACTGTTTTGTGTTCAACTGTAGGAGTTAATGACATACACAGAGCATCTGTACAGTACCTCTCATTTTATGTGTCCAAGATCAACCTTTAGGCAATATACCGCGTGGTTCCTGATTTGCGCGCTTGATGGTAATGACTGACTCGAGGACTAAGACATGTGTTTCAGGAGACAGTAGAAGCATGTAATTTTCGGTCATTCTGAGGTGTTGAAGGGGAAAATATGAACCGGTTTTACTGGGTTATCCAAATGTACCCTTGTCCTTTGCGTTTCCTCAAGTTTGCGTGGTACTTACTTGTGCAATACTTGTCTGTAGTTTAAAATTGAGGGACAAAGGCTTATATCGTTCTCTTCTGAAACCAATGTCATTCATCCAAGATGCGGTCAAACCTAATAAGTGTCAAATGAAGCTTAAAGTTGGTACTTTATTCTTAAATACTGATTCGTCTTGTCAAGTGAGCTAGCTATCGATTCTGTACCATGAGCATCTATGGGCAGCTTTCAATGACCACATCTTACTTGGCCCGTTGAATACATGTGTATCCGTAGTCTTGATTGCTCACCGATAAGTGCGCATTCACGCCACAATTATTTGTGCACTGAATATCCAACAATTTTCTGAATTACTGGTTTTCGTCGAGGACTGTATCGCCTTTCCGAGGTGTTCTTCACTGTCAGAGAAGTGCCTGGTTTGATAGTCCCTAAGCTCAAGCTTAGGAACTAGTACCACTTTATTTTATTACAATTAACAAAACGCGTGTTTTCAAAAGTACTGCTGCATTCTCTCACTTGTCGTAGTCGCGTAGCCTCGGACAAGCTTGATGACAGTGGTATCATGCATTCGGTTTGCTGACTCGTAAACTGTACATAACTACTGTGGGACGGCATTCTTTGCCAAACAATGTGCATGTTTAAGATGGGAACTAAACTTATCTTAGTCATATACTACGGTCGTGAGAAACCGGGCTGACACAGTTTAACGGCACTTGGCTATTGGTGCCAACCCTTCAATTCACTCAATCGATGAGATATTTCGTTGATCACAGACCCTCCGGGTTCCGTCCCGGATATTGCCTTATAGTCAAGGTGTCCTGTAAAGGAATATAGGCCGTAGAGAGTTGAATACAAGTAGCAATGTTTAGGAAATCTGGATACCGAGATTATTCATTTCTGGTAAGATCAGTTGCAATATTTCTGTTCTTGTGACCCTCTTTAAACAGTGCTACTCCAAACTTTTTATAGGAACCCTTTGACTCTATATTGCTGTTTTTGTTTTTAGCACATTCGTATTCTTCGTCGCCTCCGTTTAAGCTGTACTCTCCTCGACCCATCCCGAGTGCCCCCTTTGCCCTTAGAACAGCCATATTCCACGAACAATGACTTCGAAGGTCCTGCTTTTTCCTAACAATAAAGTTGTTTGCAGGAGGACATTGAAGTTACCCATGAAGATCAGAAACGAATTAATAGTTTCGCTACCTGGAATTTGAAGTCGAAAGATTTCGCTGCTGAATACGAGCAGAAAAAGGTAACTTACTGCCTTGGGTGCATTCATTCATATGGTAGAAAGACCTCGCGAACCTGGATGATGCCGAGGATGAACTCATTGTCTGTGATTCTGATTACCATCCGTATCCTTTTCTCTCTATAGGATCATTCGAATTTGGTAATTTGGAGAATTGTCCCAAGTTCAGTATGGTCCCTTTATTTTCGAGTGGATGATTTTGCGCGTTAATTTGTCTTTCGTCTCAATCGTACCAACGTACTTGCAACCTGTGACATTTTGTTTTTAGTAGTATCCACAGTTTTTTATATTTCTTAGGCGTTTGTTGCAACGTTGCAGGCTGTTAATCAAGAAACTAATAACATCAAACTGAAAAGTGAAACAAGGAAAGCATAATTAGCGGTTACCCGCGTTGTTTTCTACTTTCATGTGAAAGGTTCCCGACATCCCATTCCCAAGGATTAGCGAAGCTAGCAGAAATTTTGGTTGGTACAAGAATGCAATCAAGAGAAGCTTCGGCTCACTCCCGGAAACTCGCTTAATCAGGCAAAATCACTGCATTTTCATTAGTGTGCAGACAATCTTCGTGAACGCTGTTCTGAATGCTGCACTGGTTGTTTGAATTCACTTGATTCTTTCGTTAATAGGCCATCAGGTGACCGTTTGTGGCCCTGATTGTCTGCACTGCTAACCAAAACAAACGAGGCTTGATGACTGGGTGATTTTGGCTTTCGTTGACCTTCAACTGTATGATGTGGAATACTGATATGACTTTCCGGCAGCCAGATTCGGATGCTTATTGGCTGACCGTGTTGATTTAGCTTGTTTCAGTCTATGTATCGCCTCCTATACCTACAAAAGGCATCTGGTCACTTCCTTGCATATACCATAAGGACTTCAAGTATGCAAATGAAGTCGCACTACTCGGTTCAGGTTCAATTCAGATTCAGATATGCACTAAGTGATCTAACTGGTGCCGCCACACAATTCTCCGTATTTTTACACTTTCAAAGTGCTTAGTTCGACTGTAAGACTAGGTGAATAAACATCCTGTGTCTGTCTTTTGTTCACTGTCGACCTTTCATTTCTGCACTATCTGGTACCGTATCCGATGGCGATCCGAACCACCCAGCTGCTCATAGTGACCCAACTAAGCTTCTTAGAACCCCAGTCCTTAATTACTTGATTCAGTTGTCTCTTATGTGGTTGCACTATCGGCAGCCGAATGTACTGACCTTTAGGTTTAAGAAATGAATTGCTATGGGTCGCTTTAACTCTTCGTACAGTTATCTGGTCGGCGAGACCTTCTTCCACTTACCCACGGATGAGGTGAACGAGCACATCACCGCTGCAAAACATACCACCAAGGTCCGGATGCTTGAGCTGGAAGAGTCCATAGCAGAGAGTAAGGCACAAATGCATGCCTTGAAAAAGGATCTATACGCAAAGTTTGGAAACCATATCAATTTGGAAGAAGACTGACCAATGCAGTTATGTATTGCTGGACAAGTTGGTTCAAATATATATATGTATATTACCAAAACTTATCTTGCGCTATCCTATGGCTTCACTCTGACGAATCAACTGTACCGTCTTGCTTTTCGTCGCATCTGAACGTACATCAATTTTTTTAAATCAGGCTGTTGAAGGCAACCTTGATAAGCTATCTGTCGCAGTAGGGCAGTAAATAATAGTAATCGTTCATCTGCAACATTCTTTCGATGCCCAGCTGCCACCATAAGAAAGCTCAAGGGCTGATATACTGCTGCGGTGCCCAACCCTAGTCGAACCACAGTAGGTTCGACCATCAACCACTGAGCAAATTGTTTTGTTTTGGAACTTTTTCGGTATACAACTATCATCCGACAAAGACGAACAGTTTTCTTGCGACACTGTCAGGTTATACGGGCCTACATAAAAAGAGTCGAAAAGTTGTCGGCAAATGCTTGTTTGCGCATCTATTTGGTTTTCACGGGAGACTACTGAATCTCATTTATGGTATTAGAAAAGGTAGTTGTGGATTCATCCAGACTCGGTTAGTACTTCAGGTCATAACCCCTAAGGTGTCTCGTAGTTACACGCGTTACACGTCATGAAGTGTCGTTCCTTTTTCTGATAAAAACTCGATTTTTTACCAAATCCTTCCGAAAAGTGTCGTCCCTGTTATCAGACTAAACAGTACTACACGTGAAACGGTGCATGCTACTGGTTAGGCATGCGAGTGGTATGTTTTCACATACATCCGCTTCGCGTCTATTGATAAGTGAGGTTTGTTACGGAGTTTGTGGAGTTGCTTTGTAGCGTTCGTCTGCATTTGAGTAATAGTCAATGAATATCCAGGAAAGTTCAGGAGGACGCTTTCGAGATGATAGGTATTCAGTTTTTATGAACAGGATGCAAATGACAGTTTTGCTTCGCTGTCTAATATCTGTAACTGTTGGTGTTTTCTAATAAACAAGTCCTCAGCGAAGGCCTGCTTCCTTTTCACACGTACTTCGGCAGTGATCTCTTACGTACCAGTTGAATGAAAGCTCTCCCTGAAAAAGAAAAGGTACCGAAACCTGAATAAACAAATGTCTGGAAACACTAGCAACACAGTCAGCCGTTTGATGCCGTTTCTCAATTCGACCTTGTATCTCAGACCCCAAAAGTCGTGGTGAAACCTTCATACCATACTTCTACTATGAATCCTCCAGTGACGATCCTCTAAACGACGGAGTTGGAAGGCTCACATTAGAATCAATTCCATTTGATAGTGTCGGGAAATTGGGGACTTTGATTCTGCAAATGAAGCTAATGTATGCAGAAAAGCCCAAGAGCACTGCCCAGTTGTTTTCTGTTTATTGGGAATCACCACCAGTGCGAATCTCGGTGTCTTGAGCCCGCAACCTCGTGACTAGTGGTTTGAACATCAGGCGCAGAACGCTGGTCACCATGCAGCTGGGGAACTGTGTTTGGGCTGTTGCCGTCATGCTCGTTCGATCTATTGTCAAGGTTTTGCATTTTAGAACACCAATGTTTATTCAGGCTTTAATGCATGTGCCATTTTCTCAGGCTAACAGACGCAGTCCATATGGCGGTGATAACTGTAGGAAGGAAATTCTTACGCGGTTCGAATAAGGCTCCTTTGAAAACATCATCGAGGTTCTACTGAACGAAAAATGATTGTGCGAGCTGTACCGTGTGGCCATGCGATTACTGTCACGTTCCAACTCACATCATATTGAGTTTAGGGGCCTTGAGATTTCCAAAGTAAACTGTGGCAAAACAAAAAGCAACGAGGACGTATTTTAAATACTTGTCTGCTGGTCAGTTTGCCACGAAACCTGCTTCAAGTGTGCAGTAAGCGGTCTGACATCTGTAGTTACGGATAGCCCCGCCAGAATGTGTAAGTCATATTTCCATAACGCTAAAGGAGTTGTAAATTTCCGCAAAGTGTAACTTGATATGGCCTCAGCACATCAACAGGTGATCACCGCTGTCTTCATTTCGTAGCCTGTATTCAGTGCGTCGTGGTGACAAGTAACCCTAGTCAGCCGCTGAACGCGGAAGCTTACCGTAAGCCTCATTTCTAGACACTCTCCGCTACTGTGTGTAATTTTAATATTCATCTGATAGTTCAACAGAAGCAGACCGAGAACTTTTAAAATCTCAGCATCAGTTTCGGATGTGCGTCACTATCCATTGTGACTTAAACCGATAAATTAGGATGAGTAAGTCTCGCGAAATACACACGTGTGTTGGCGAGAAGATCAGGTCAATCCAAGCCGAACTTCTTGTTTAGGATAATTTGGGCTATCGGATGGTTTTTAGCATTCGTACATGTTGTGTTATGTGAGAAAAAAGTCTTGTTTGGAGCAACTACTCACAACATTCCTGAAGACTCTTAGACCTTGTGAATAGTTTCCTCAATGAAACTATACTGCGATATATCGAGTATCGTACCAACTGAAACATGAGGTGGCCTTTGTTTACTTTATTCAAGTAAGGAGCGTCATAAGCAAGAGAATCCGCTGACCATCCCGTGAAAACCAAAATGATTTACAAATTAGTGTATTTGTCTTGTTTAAGGTGTTATAAGAAGAGTTTAAAAGTCTGTCGAATGGTACTAGATGATGCTAGATGTCGGATTTCGCTGCTGTTATAAAATTAACAACTCGTATATTTTTGTGGTTGTAAGTACTAACTGAACTCCCTACACACGTCCATTCAAATGCAATTCTTTGTTAACGGAATTGTAGCCTACTGCCATGCTCGATGAACAGGCCGTATACCAGTATTTTGTGGCCCATTAGCTGCTGTGTGAAGATCGAAAAATCGACCATGTCGTTTTGTCTTGATGTGAGGTACAGATCCCACCAGCATTTCGCGCGACCGGTGCGGAATTCCTTACCACATTTCGAGTGCGGCAAACGGATTAGCACGGAAATCTCGTTTATTCTGCTTGTTATCCAGCTTTCAGCTATTCTTACTCCGCTACATTCTTCCGAGAAGGGCGAAGATGCGAATCTGTAGAACCACCGGCTTTTCAACTCAAACGATACTCCATAGATCTTGGTCAACAAATCGCTCCATTCTGAGACAGGGTTGCGGCAGTCATAAATTGTGGACTCGAATGGTGAGCTTAGAAAAATCTCAGCTGGATTTTCCCATTTTGAAAACAAAGCGCTGGAATTTCAAACTTAACTTAGAATCAGCGAAATACACTCATTTGCAAACGAATTTGANAACATGAGGTGGCCTTTGTTTACTTTATTCAAGTAAGGAGCGTCATAAGCAAGAGAATCCGCTGACCATCCCGTGAAAACCAAAATGATTTACAAATTAGTGTATTTGTCTTGTTTAAGGTGTTATAAGAAGAGTTTAAAAGTCTGTCGAATGGTACTAGATGATGCTAGATGTCGGATTTCGCTGCTGTTATAAAATTAACAACTCGTATATTTTTGTGGTTGTAAGTACTAACTGAACTCCCTACACACGTCCATTCAAATGCAATTCTTTGTTAACGGAATTGTAGCCTACTGCCATGCTCGAGGAACAGGCCGTATACCAGTATTTTGTGGCCCATTAGCTGCTGTGTGAAGATCGAAAAATCGACCATGTCGTTTTGTCTTGATGTGAGGTACAGATCCCACCAGCATTTCGCGCGACCGGTGCGGAATTCCTTACCACATTTCGAGTGCGGCAAACGGATTAGCACGGAAATCTCGTTTATTCTGCTTGTTATCCAGCTTTCAGCTATTCTTACTCCGCTACATTCTTCCGAGAAGGGCGAAGATGTGAATCTGTAGAACCACCGGCTTTTCAACTCAAACGATACTCCATAGATCTTGGTCAACAAATCGCTCCATTCTGAGACAGGGTTGCGGCAGTAATAAATTGTGGACTCGAATGGACGACTTAGAAAAATCTCGGCCGGATTTTTCCATTTTGAAAACAAAGCGCTGGAATTTCAAACTTAACTTAGAATCAGCGAAATACACTCATTTGCAAACGAATTTGATTTTGCGGGAGACTAGCCCAGCCGAATCTCTCGTTTAGGATGTTTTCATGTAGCTTTTTTCAGCAACTTAATGAGGAATGTTTTGTGTGTAGATACTTCGAATTCTGTTGGGCAGCACATCAAGTAACGAATGTAGCTGGTTTCATTGTGGACGCGTCCTTCATACACATGCTACTTCGCCGATAATATCAACATTTGTATCAATGGTGCACGCATGCGGCACTCTGTCTAGAGCTGAACAGTTTGAGCGTGTACACTTCATGATTCGGGGATATCCGCTCCACTTTACCAATGATTTTTTATATTGCCGCTGTACCACCATCCAGACTGATATGCTCATTGGCTCAGCAACACTAAATTCCTTTACCCCGAAGGAGGTGCATGAGCACCAAAAGGTTCTTGTTGGTAGTGACTTATTGTGTCAAACGAATGAGAGATTTAATTCATTCAGGCTAACCCTGTTTATTTCAAGACAAGGGATATTAGGATCAACGACTTTCATCTTGTGTTCTCGGGCTCCTGCCTCCTCTACTGTATTCCCTGTACGAGATGTGTAAGTTCAATTAATATGGATTACGTGGGAAACTAATTGACTGTAGTTTGGGTGAATTCGTTTACAGGGGAAGCGGTTGGGCTCTCCACTAAAAATTACTCAATAGGAAGGCATCTACTAAGTAACTTCATCAGTAGCTAAAACTATTTGCATTAAAAGTTTTGAGAGGAAATTGATCTGCCTTCGAATAGCTCTCATTGGAGAAACGGATTCACTGATCAGCTGCATTGTTTGTTGCGTGTACCATCGGTGGTGTGACCCGTCAATAAAAATACATAAAGTGGAGAAGAATTCGCTCCCCTTACTTTTGGATGTAGTATTACCATCGGAAGAAATTCCGAGATTCTGAAGATCCGATTTGATGTCTGTATCAGCCAAACACTATGAAATCTGAATAATTCTGAACGAACACCCTACGCTATCTGCGAAGATTCCATTATGGGCGAGA